GAGCCTCGCGTTCCGCATGGCGTTCGCGGGCCACGACGCCGAGTTCTCGCAGGCAGGATGGTGGTACGACGTAAAGCCCGCCCATTCCCGTTGCTGGATGCACTGACGGCGAGCATGTCATTGTCCACGTCATCACTTGCTCCTCGCTCGACATGGCCGCCACGTGCTTGTAGATGGGCGAGTGCGTGGCAAGGATTACATCTGCGGCGAATGGGTGATGTGCTTATACGCTCGATATCGTACCCCCAACACCCGAAGCTACTCGCCTCCGCCAATCGTTGCACCAACAAGGTCGTCTGCCTAGCACCAATTAAAATACATAATCCATATGATTTCATCGTTCCTACCCCCGGACCCTAGTTGCCCTTTGGAGGCGGGCGGTTCGGCGTTCTGAAATAGTGTGGACTTTTCTTTGTAAATGGTGTGCTCGACCAATCGGGCTGCAATCCTGGACATATTAAAGCGAATCAAACGACAAGTGAAATAAATGAAATGTTTTTTTTGCCTCGAACATTCATTGTCGAAACCCGTTACACTGAGAACATTACTTGAACAATGTTGGAAGCTTCCAACATTAATTGAAGGGAAATAAAAAGTATGAACAATCATTATCGTGAACATTCATTATTTCGTCGTTCAATGTCAACAATGTCAACATTTTGCTGCTGGGTACAAAACCCGTGGCCGTCAAGCTCTGCGGGCGCGACTGGAGCTCGTTCAAGAAGGTAGCCATGTAGTCGGGGCGACACGACTTCAGGTGGCAAATGAGGTTGCCATGCCCCGAAAATTGGGCCTGCTTCAAGGACTTGGTGCACTTGCCGCACTGGAAAGAATTGGCCACGGCCGGGTCGGGCGAGAAGAAGCGGGTGACAATGGCCTTGGCCTGGCCCCTGCTGTGTTTGGCGTCGGGCTTGGTGGCCATGATGCAAATCGAGATGTGCGTGTAGTGCACAAGCTTGGTAGCCTCGGGATGGAACGATTGGCTATCTGACAATGTGGGTAATGTTTGACATTTACCCTGACATTCATTGCGAATCCTGTTGACAAGACGACATTCCATATGTAATGATCCTTGTCGGACTCATTCAGTGGAGCTGGAACCACGGCGCAGTTCGTGATTAGTATAATGTTTGAAGAGGCAATCAATCATTGGCCAATGTTTTTCGCGCCCAACATTATTTGAGCAATGCAATAAATGTGAAAAATGTACGATTTCGAATAATGTTTCGGAACCCCTGAATGAGTCTATTGAGTGTTATTGACGAGGCCAACCAGCATGTATTGGCCGT